GACTTAACAATGAAAACCATGATCAGCCAAGGGTATATCTGCCTCCTTGGAGCAGGAGACCAGCAGGTTGTCCGCACAACCCTACATTCATGAAGCCACCTGCAATGCCAATGGTGTTCCTTTCTGTACTCTCCTGTGCCCCACTGGACCTCCCAGAAGGTTCTGATATGGGACAGAGCAGCACATTAATTAAATTAACTCCAAGGCTACGTTGACCTCTAGAACGATGATGGACTCTGTTTTAGTTACCATCGCACATAATTCTTAACTGTGTTGTGCAATATGGATCATCAGAGGTTTTGCAATGAGCCCAAATGATATTCCAAATAATGTAACGCCAGCCAAAAGAAGAGAAAAATCCATAAATTACAGAATAAATAAATAAATAAACCCTCCCTTATTATTAAATTTCCAGGAAGAATTTAAAGTCCTCCAAATGAAAATTCTTGCCTTTGTAAATTAAAGCAGAAAAAAGCAATCTAGATTTCATAGTTTTCCAGTTTCTTATGCTTCTCATCTTCAGCCAGAAGGCTCTCATTCAGTTTTAAGGGCACACTGACTATTGTCATCTTCAGCAGCTGCTGTCTACGCTTTTCCAGCATTCATGGAATTGAATTAAACCCACTCTCAATCTTTCAAGGATCCTGCTTTTTTTCCCAGATTCTCGAAGGCAGTGGGACCCATAAAATGATCATTGCAGCAGACTCAAACTCAAAAAATTCTGGACACACAAGTATAGCCCCAACCCCCTACAAGAGTTATTTCAGCCAAATGATGAATATGGACTCAATTATGTTGTGCAATCTAGGTCTCCATTATTGTTGCCAGAGACCATCAGAAGGAAAAGAATCCCTGGGTGTACCCTCGCTCAGATGCCAGTCACTCTGTGTTAGTTGTCAAGGGTCCACAATCTGTGAACTTAGACTAAGTTGGGAGAAATCTCCTATCAGGTGTTCAGATGGGGTACCATGTTTGTCGCTCTGGAAGAAATGTACACTGCCTCCTAGCTGGCTTGTCTTCTTGAGAAATTTAGACTTTCCAATGCCGACAGCCTCTGTCTTCTAGTCTTGACTGACACTTCCTTCCGACCCATCCAGCATTTTGCAACTTTTTAATTTTCCATTTCACCTTGGAGCCTTGTTTTTCTGGAACTCCAACAGAGGTGCAGCCTTCACCCCTATTTTAAGACGGCAGTTTTAGCTCTCACCGCCAGGCTCTCAGGACTGGCTCCATAATTTGTGGACCAGGTGCAAATGAAAGTGAGGGCCCCTAGTTCAAAAATCACTTATAATTTCAAGACACAGGCAGCAGAAAAATAAACGAAGCATGGGGTCCTCTAAGCATGGTGCCCTGGGGGACTACACAGGTCACTCGCTCCTGGAGCCAACCCTGCTGACCACCATAATGACTGCTATTCCTCTTGCTATGGAATTTTTCAGGTTATAACTATTGCCTGCTAGGGAAAATTTTCCCTGAGTCCCACATTTTGTTTCAGTTTGGAATCATCCCCCACAGAGCTCTGATCTAAAACTGTTGTGGTTATTTCTGAACTCTTAGGACTGACACCTCTGACAAATGTTTTTCCAAAAGAGGTATGTGTCCCATTGCACGTTTCTCTGGAGCTGTAGCATAAGCTCTACTGCAATTTTTAAACTTTTTAATGTTAAAACTTTTCAATCTTACAAAAAAGTAGATACAGTAATATATTAATAGTAAACTCCCATGTTCCCATCACACAACGGCAACAATGATCAATAGTCTACCATTTTTGTTTTATCTAACCCAGTACCATTTTATTGCTGCTGGTTTATTTTAAAGCAAATCCCGGACATGGATTCAATCAGTCCGTATGTACTTGAAGGCTTTTTAACGCAGCCACATTACCATTTTCATTAACCCATCCATCCCAGCTAGCACTAATTTCTTAATACCATTTACTACCAGGACAGTGCAATTTTTATTTGATTGTCTCAAAAACCTTCTTTTTACATCTTATTTGTTGCATAAGAATCCAAATGAGAATTCACACATTACATTTAGGGCTATGCCTCTTAAGTCTTTTTCAATCTATAATAGTTCCCTCTTTTTCTTTTTTCCCCAATGTTATTTATTTGGTGAGGAAACAAAATAACTTGCCCTGTTCAATTGTCTATATTTGGGATATGACTGAATTGTATCCTTATAATGTTGTTTAACATGTTCCTCAATCCTCTATTCTTTTGTATATTGGTAATTCGACCCCAGGACTTACTTAAAATCAGGCTCAATTTTGTGTTTATTTGGGGCAAGGGGAAAATTCAGCTTCCTTTTAAACATTAAATCCACTTTTTTTTTTTTTCTTTAACATTTTTTCCTTGAAGTTGGCACCTTCCTTCCTTTTTCTTTCTCCTGGCTTTAGGGTCCAACATGTGTATTTCTAGCATGCTCTTCTAGATTCCACCTCTTAGAGTCCTCAATATCAAAAGATAGAAAGGTGAGTTCAGTGATGTTGAGCATTCTTTCATGTGTTTGTTGGCAATCTGTATATCTTTGGAGAAATGTCTATTTAGGTCAGAAATGCAAATGAAAACCACAATGAGGTATCACCTCACACTGGTCGGAGTGGCCATCATCAAAAAATCTACAAACAATAAATGCTGGAGAGGGTGTGGAGAAAAGGGAACCCTCTTGCACTGTTGGTAGGAATGTAAATTAATACAGCCACTATGGAGAACAGTATGGAGGTTCCTTAAAAAACTAAAAATAGAACTACCATACAACCCAGCAATCCCACTACTGGGCATATACCCTGAGAAAACCGTAATTCAAAAAGACACATGCACCCCAATGTTCATGCAGCACTATTTACAATAGCCAGGACATGGAAGCAACCTAAGTGTCCATCGACAGGTGAATGGATAAAGAAGATGTGGCACACATATACAATGGAATATTACTCAGCCATAAAAAGAAACGAAATTGAGTTACTTGTAGTGAGGTGGATGGACCTAGCGTCTGTCATACAGAGTGAACTAAGTCAGGAAGAGCAAAACAAATACCGTATGCTAACACATATATATGGAATCTGAAAAAAAAAAAGAAGGTTCTGAAGAACCTAGGGGCAAGACGGGAATAAAGACGCAGACGTAGAAAATGGACTTAAGGACAGGGGGAGGGGAAAGCGTAAGCTGGGACAAAGTGAGAGAGTAGCATCGACATATATACACCACCAAATGTAAAATAGATAGCTAGTGGGAAGCAGCTGCATAGCACAGGGAGATCAGCTTGGTGCTCTGTGACCACCTAGAGGGGTGGGATAGGGAGGGTGGGAGGGAGGCTCAAGAGGGAGGGGATATGGGGATATATGTATACGTATAGCTGATTCACTTTGTTATACAGCAGAAACTAACACAACACTGTAAAGCAATTATACTCCAATAAAGATGTTTAAAAAAAAAAAGAAAATGATCAATAGATTGTGGGTGTTTGATTCTTGTGGTTAAGGACAAAATTTATATTTTCCTCAAATTTATTATGTTCTCAAATATGATCAGAAAATACAAGGTCCAATTGCCATCTCTCTCTAAACAAAAAAAGAAAGGTGAGTTCATCTGAACCTGCAAATCTGGAATTAGAACTTGCAAAAAGCATACAACTGTCAAACAAATCATATCCTCCTATATCTCCTTGAATTATGTAACCCTTTTAAAAAGGTATTCAAAAATCAGACTAACTTCTAATACAGCTGAATTTGATCTAGCCTTGGCCTTTACATCTCCTATCTAGTATATACTATCTTTTCTGTACTTTCCTTTCGAATACAGACTCCACAAATTCCGCAGTTTTAGAAGAACTAAGCATCAAAGCCTGGTGTTAATTGGAATTTCATAGTCTAATATTATGTTCTGTCTTTAAGTCCCAGAAAACAAAAGGCAAGAGCAAAAAAAAAAAAAAAAAAAAAATCATGCTTTCAGTAAATGGGCAATTAAAAGGATTCCATAATGGTTTAAAGAACACTGGATTTGAAGTCAGAGGAGTTGAACTCAGGTTTCTCACCCATCAGTTTTATTACTTTGGGGAAGAAACTTAAATTACCTGGGATTTGGTTTCTACATCTATTTAATAAGAGGAGAAATCTAGTAGATCTCTGAAGCCTCTTCCAAGATTAGTGATACTGTGATTCTAAGTACCCTTCAATTTATTGTACATTCTAAACCTCATCTCCACTCTTCAATTAAAGGTAAAATTTCTTTTCACACCAAAAGAACTTCCTCTTACCTAGTTAGTGGGGATTCAGCCTCAGAAAAGAATATAAATTACCTATTCTCCTGCCCACTTTTGTCTAAAATATTCCTTTTCTTTTTTACCCTGTATGCTCATCTCACTCTCCGAAAAGTTTGACAGATTTTATCTGTCCTCCCACTATGATACAGTTGAAGACGTAAAGCATTAATTATTTCATTAATTCAATTAAATATTATTACTTTGGTAGGCACTCTCCTAGGTACTGAACAAAACAGGCAAAGGTTTTGGTTGCTGAGAACTCTCGGTCTACCGCGGGGAGACAGACAATAGACAAAAAAATAAATAACTTCAGATAGGGGTAAGGTCTATAAAGACAATGAAACAGGATGATGAAAAAGCAAATGGGGGGAAGGTTAGACTTTACGCTGGGTGGTCAAGGAGGCCCTTTCTGAGAAAGTGTCACTTAAACAGAGACTTAGATGACACAAGGAAACCACCACATGAAGATCATGGGATGAGTGCTCTAGGCTGAAGGATGGCGTGGACATCTCTTAAGTTGGGAACAAGCTTGGTGTATTCTGGAGTGGTGAGAAGCATAGGGTCATAGCATAAATGGCTTAGAAGCCAGGGCACAGCATTTGATATTACCCTTAAGACAGAGGGAACATGGAAGATCCTTCACAGGAGAACATGATCTGATTTGCATTTCTTAAAGACCACTCCAGCTTGACTAGTCCCTGTAGGAGAGTCACTCACCACTTCTGTTTTCCTAACAGTTTTTGCCAGAATCCTGCGGCCTCCTGAATCCCACAATGTCACCTTTGGCTCCTTTGTGACCCTGCGCTGTACAGCAACAGGCATCCCTGTCCCCACCATCACCTGGATTGAAAATGGAAACACTGTGAGTGCCAACTGTATGGAAACTTGTCTGGGGAAGACGCACTGGTGGTGAATTTCAGGGCAGACCACTTATTTGTAGAGTTACCTTGACCTCTGTCATTGGTCCCACCTGCATCTCCATTTTTCAAAGCCTTCCAATATTTTCATCCTAGAAGTTACTGACTTAGAGACTGAACTCCATACGTTTACTTCTTTCCTTGTATCATGGGGATAGTAGAAAGTCAAATTCATTCTTTATGCTTTTGTGTAAAAGGGAAGTGGTATTAATTCCTTCCCACACAAAACTCATCAATTTAAGAATTAGTCCACTGTTGGAGCCTACTTTGATGAAAAGTAATCCAGAATAAGAACCCATGTCTGTTAGTGCAACAGAATTTTCTTTTCATTTCTAATACTGGTAATAATAACTAACATATAGTATGTGGTTGCTATGACCAGGCCCTGTTCTAAGCACTTTACATAAAAACATTCATTTATTCATTCTACAAATATTATTGAGCATCTCCTGGGCATCAGGCATTATTCTAGACAATGTGGGTACAGGCACAACCAAAACAGGTAAAGTTTCCTGCCCTCAACTTGCTTACATTGTGATGGGGAAAAACAAACAATAAAATAAGCAGATGGGAGAATCTATAGTCTATGTGGACAGTGTCAAATGCCATGGAGAAAAATAAAGCAGGAAAATGAGAAAATACAGAGAAAAATAAAGCAGGAAAATGAGAAAATACAATCTCAGGAGAAAGATTCCATTTTCAATAAAGTGGTCAGAGAAGCCTTATTAAGATGGAGATATGTGAGCAAAGATCTGAAAGAGCTGAAGGAGGAGGCTATGTAGATAATGCGGGGATGAGAACCAGGCAAAGTCACTGAGATAAAGGTGCACCTGATATGTCAGAGGAACAGCAAGCAGGTCAGTGTAGCTAGAGGTGAGTGAGCAAAGAGGAAAGAAGTAAGGGGTGTGCACAGGGGTTGTAGATCCTATAGGCTTATATAGGTCAATTGATACAATTTGGCTTTATTTGAGTGAGATGGGATGCCACTGTAGGTCTGTTTCTGTCGTCTGTTTTCCTGCTGGCTCTTT